AAGCCAAGCTCAGTCTCGCACAGTACAACCATGCTAACGTCTAAGGAAATAAGCCGAGTAACCCTCGCAYACTTAGCCACATTAACCCTCGCACACTTAGCCACATTAAAGAATTTATCCTTAAGCCGACCTCAGGGACGCGGATCAAACATCGGGACCAGTCCCGCACAAGCCGAGCTTAGTCTCGCATAATCTCAGAACATCTAAGTAAATAAGCCGATCAACCCTCGCACACTTAGCCACGTCGAAGACTTCGTCATAAGCCGACCTCAGGATCGCAGACCAAAAAGCTGAGCCCAGGGTCGCAGACCAAAAGGCTGAGCCCAGTCTCGCATAAGCCTCAGAACGTCTAAGTAAATAAGCTGATCAACCCTCGCATACTTAGTCACGTTGAAGGCTTCGTCTTAAGCCGATCTCAGGGTCGCCGACCAAAAAATTCGAGCTCAGTCTCGCATAGTCTCAGAGACGTCTAAGTAAATAAGCCGATCACCCCTTACGCACTTAGCTACGTCGAAGACTTCGTCTTAAGCTGATCTCTGGATCGCAGACAAGAGCTGAGCCCAGTCTCGCATAAGTCACAGAGATGCCTAAGTAAGTTAGCCACGTCAAAGACTGCATCTTAAACCGACCTCATGGTCGCCGACAAAAGCCGAGCTTAGTCTCGTACCAAGTCTCATAAGCGTCTAAGTGACTAAGCCGAGAAACCTCGCACACTTAGCCACGTTAAGGACTTCATCTTAAGTCGACCTAAAGGTCGCGGACACTACGACCTAGATATACCTAAGTGTGTAAGCCGATCTGCTTTCGCCAACTTAGCAGGACGACAGTCTATTGTTCATAAAAAACCAAACATGCATCAAACGTAAAACCATTTAATCAAAACGCAATCGCCTACCAAAGACCGCTCTTCAGAAAGAAGGATTCGTAGAGACACATATATCCTTCAGGCGGAGCCCACAGACGTTGGTCGGCAGATGGGAAGACGAACTCTATATCGGCATGCAAGCGCCACTCTCGACGCATCTTCTCCAGTGATTCGACGGTGGCCTTGGTCGCCACATCATCCTTCAGCTCTAACTCAATGTAACGACCTAAGCCAGGGTCGGGAGACTTGGCGACCTCGTCATTTACCAAGGGAGAAAACGAGCCGACCTCATCTTTCACGAAATAAAGATCGTCTGAGTCATCGATGTTGTCAGAGTCACCCAGATCTGACTCTCTCGACACCCCCTCGCGTTCCTGCGGGGTTGCAGAAGACCTATCGACCTCTTTACAGGTCGCATAAGAGGTCGCGTCATCCGCAAAATTCTGGGTAAGCGAGCCCGTCGAAGAGCTCACAACAGGAGAGCGAGAAGCGAAGAGTCACGCCTCGTGAACCTTAATGTCGCTCAGTCAACCATTCAAGGGAAGACACGTCATCAGCCCATTATCAACCAGAGTTGGGCTTTCCATTAAACAGAACGAGGAACTCGGCCCACTTTGATTCGCCGACTTGGGGGGCTACTGTTGGACATGGGCGTGCGGCCCAACCACAATGATTCAGTCCATCAATACCAAAGAAGCCCAACTCAGAAAAGCATGATTAAAGCTTAACCATGGTCAAATCTCAACCAATGTTACTCCTAGGATTTTGCTATAAATAGAAGTCATCACATCACTTGAAGGGACATCTGAACATTCTTTGGACCAGAGGATAAAGAGAAAAACGTACACTTTATTCTCTAGATCAGAGAAGAGCTTCCGATCAATTACCGTTGCCAGAAAGTACAAACCGTTTCACGACCTCTTATTTTCTGTAGCACGTCGGGATCTGTCCGACCTGTTATCATTTTAACACTATATTTTGTAACCTCTTTTCCTGACTTCATATTTCAATATACGAATGTACTTAATGGTTGAACATGAATGTTTATAAACCATTCCTTCCTCAAAATATGAGGAAGAGTTAGAACTCAAAATTTATAGAGCACAGTTGTAGAAGATAAAAGAGTGGCGATATTGAAATAATAGATTAAGAAACAGAGGAAGGATTCTGAAGGAGAAGAACTTTAGAGGTCACAAAATATCCACAAAAAGAGAGAAAGTCATAGAGGCTGCTAAAGTGGCTCTATCACATGCCCATTGACCAAATAAATTGCTGACAAAATATAACCGTTGAGGTTTATAAAATCATTTTTTGTATTGTTCATATCAATAATCACGTTATTAGGACAATTTCACTAAAAGAAAAATGAGTATTTATAGCACTAGACGATAAAGTTTTTTTGTTTCTGCTATAGTTGATTCATGCCAAATATTTTTATAGCGTTTCTTTAACAACAAACGTTATAATATGTTAGGCGGTAAAAATAATAGGTTTGGCTCTTGTATTTTTGCTTTTATCCCCTGCCCCTCCTGAAATAATTTTTGGCATTATCCGCGTACCTTAGAAAAGATATAAAGAAGTTAACAAATTTTGTCGAACATTAAGATCCCCTTTTTTCCAAATTAGGGTGTTCACCAAAATTTCCCTTTTGCAAACCCCTTTTTTTTAAGACAATTTTTTTGCAAACCCTTAAGATTTCTTCTTCCTCTCTTGATTCCTCTCACTCAAAGGCTCGATAATTTTGACCCTCAGTGTCGATCGTCGTTATCAGTCTCGATCTACAACAAATTAGCTTTTTCCTCTTCTTCTCTTTCCGTGTCATTGAAATTTTGTTGTCTGATTGTTCGATTTTGTTTTTGTTTCTAATTTTCTCGTGTAGTAGTTCAATTGGGAAGCGGAAATCAGAGAAATCGGCTTTGAAAGATTCATCGGAAGGACTTATTAGCACCAACTTCCGCTGGAGAATCTAGTTGTTTCCGACCCAAATATTGATGAATTTGAGTGTGGTAACGACAAAAATCCTTTCGATTTATCCAGGTTTTAGCAGGACTTATGTAGCTTATGTGAGTTTCTCTTTTTGTTGCTAATGGTTGAAGCTGCTGATTTAGGGAAAGAGAGAGCATAATTGTTGGGGCTTTTGGTTAAGTGTAGTGGAGGAAGAGAAGAAATGAGCAGAGTGAGTGGAATTGTTGAGATTTTGGTTAATGTTTTGATGAATATGATTTGTAAGAAGAAGAAGAAGAGTGATTTTTTCTTCTCTTATCAATCTCTAAATATGTATGTCATTGCTAAAGAGTGATTTTTTTTTCTCTTATCAATCTCTAAATATGTATGTCATTGCTATTCAAAATAAGAGTTAGATTTACAAAATAAAAAGTAAAAGTCATGATCATTCATTTAAAGTTTAGGGCATATGATTTGGAATTTAGGGTATAAAGAGAGGGTATAGGGTTTGAAATATAATTTTAGTGTTATTAACAATAAAAATATAGTAAATTTTTAAAAAGTTTAAATCATAATCATTTT